ATATCGTCACAAACAGAACTGCCCGGTAAACCGTAGGCAGAGAGAGAGAAGAGGACAACAAACGAGGGGCTGTGGCAAACTGTATATATATATATATATATATATATATATATATATATATATATATATATATGTTCCTCTTATCTTTTTATTTTTTCATTTAGCTGCAACCCTCTTATGTCCGGATGTCTTCTAATTTTGTTCAGCAAGACTTCCATCTGCAACACAAACAGTAGTGGCGTCAGTGGGCAGCCCTGCCTGAGCGATCGAGTGAGCTTGAAGGGTAGTGATAGATGACCGTTCACTGCTACCGATGACGTGGAGTGAGTGTACATTGCAATAACCCACCTGCAGAAACCGTCGCCGAAACCCATGTGTCTCAGTGTTGTAAGTACAAAGGTCCATCCAACCTTGTCATACGCCTTCTCGAGGTCGAGGAGGAGTACTGCTGTGTCCAAGCTCTCCGACTGTACCACCTCCAAGACTTCAATGGCAGTGACAATGTTATTGAAGATGGACCGTCCTTGCACGAACGCCCCCTGGTCTCCGCCTATTAGGTCCGGAAGGGAGCGAGCCATCCTCCTCGCAAGGGTCTTCGCTAACACTTTGTACGAGACATTCAAAAGGGAGACAGGCATCCAGTTTTTAACTTCGGCCTTGTCTCCCTTTTTGAATAGCAGTATGATGACCCCATGTGTCATCACTGCTCATAGCTTTCCTCCCACTAGCACCTCGTTATATGCTTCCACCAACGCTGGACCAACCGCATCCCAGTTCTTGATGTAGAATTCCACTGTGAGACCATCAATGCCTGGGGATTTTCCCTTTGCCATGCTCCTCAGTGTCTGTCTTGTCTCTTCCACTATCATTGGCCTGTCTAGGTCCAACTTAGCTTGTACTTGGAGCTTGCAATGAGTATTTGTCCACATGTCTGAGACTTCGGTGAGATCCGTGTTTATGTCATCATGCGGTCGCCTTGTCGTTAGTATGTCTTCGTAGTATGCCTTCGCATACTCCAACATTCCTGCTGCCGTAGAAGCTGTTGGGGCTGATTCGTCCAACGGGTGTTTTAGTTCCACCATCTGTAGTTGTGTCCTTCTTGGCTGCAATTTCTGAAAAGTCACTTTCGTCATCTTATCATGAACCACAATTCCTTTCTCTTCCAGCACTCCCTTCCATCTTTTATCTTTCTCCTCTTGCATCTTGTCCCATTCTGCCATTCTCCTCTCCCTCTCTGCTGCCCATGTGAGGACTGAGATTGGATGCCCTTCCATTCTTCCCTCCGCCTCCTCTACCCTCCTTCTGCACTCCGCCTCTTTCTTGTTCCTGGTCTTTGCTAGGATTCTTGAGCTGACTTCCATTACTTTCGATGCAATGTTGATGCCGCTATCCAGCCATTCCGCTGTTGTTTTGAAATGTCGTCGCGCCGATTCCCAACTGGTCTAGTGGCGTTGCACCCATTCTATGACCCCGGGATCTTCTAGATTCTGAGAATTCAGTCTGAAAAACCCCTTCCCTCTCTCCACGCTGCCTGAAGCTTGATGTTTGCTACCACCGGTTTGTGGTCCGACATCGGATTTGCCACCTGCTGCACCTCCAGCACCCCTTCTAGCACTGTATCTCCCACTAGAAAGTAGTCCAATCTGCGTCTCGTCATAGTTTGTCTGCTTCTTTGTATGTG